ACATCCCTGAGATGGTAACATTATTTCATAAATAAATTCTAATATTTCATATTTCATACCTAATGTTCATACTAAAGACCTTGATATAAATGAGTGTGTTACTTCTGAATCTATCAAAGCATATGTAACGAGTCCAAAGATTAAGAAATAGCCACAAATCACTACTACATCATTCCATTTTGCCTATTCTTGTGCTAGGGTATACACCCAGTCGATATGCTACGATAACCTCTAATTCTCTTAGGACATTGATCGGTCATATATCCGGGTTCCTTACATTAGTAGCATGTGTTAATACCACTAAACGAGTTTTTGAGGTGTATCCTTCCACACTTGACACATACAACTCTATTAGCTTTATTTCTCTTTGGTGTAACATCATCTCCCTTAATTTTTTTAATCCTAGATGAACTCCTAACCTTCGCTAAAAAGTTAGGCCTTGGCCTTTTTTCCCGAAGTTCTTTTACAATCTCTTTTTGGTCCTTTTCGATTATTAATGCTCGACTAACCATGTCATTATAAGTGATGATATAAGACATCCATGCCATGCTCTTGACTTAGGGAGTGAGCCCTTATAAGAATTACTCATTCTTCAGCTTAGGGTCCTTGGTAATGAATGAGATAAATTGTTTTCCATGCTCAAACCAACTAATATACTCTATCATGGTCATATTTGCTTACATTAAATCAATAAACTCTTGCACCTTCTTAGATTTTACATCTACGGTGAAATACTTAGCAAAGAAGATCTCTTTGAAGCATGTTCAAGTTAGGTTAGGTACATCTAAAGGAACCTTAGCTACATCCCACTAAGTTCTTGCATCTCAAGCTAACATAAACACGAGCTTCCTTTACTCGATCAAGTCTCCCATCCCAAGATGTTCAAAAATAACCTTTAGGGACTTAATCCAATCTTCGACAACTATAGGATCGGGGTTTTTCATAAATTCCTTTGGATTCAACTTTCAAAATTTCTTTATCCTGTCATCTCTTCGAGTTTGAGTTCTTTGATCCCTCTACTATTGTAGAGCCAAAAACTATCTTATATGATCCTTATGTCGTTCTTACTACTCGCTGCATCATATCCAACACACACTCGTATCAAGACCTCATTTTCGCCCTCTACCCGAGGGCTACTACCATTTCTAGCCTCGGTGTCTTCCATTCTTCTTATAAGTAATCTATCATATTATCATTCATTATTGATTTAAATTTCTAAAATCCTCTCAAATAGTGCTCATCATAACATTTAAATCAAAAGAATAATAAAATATCATTTATACATGTCATATACTTATTTTAACTTAATTCTATACAATATCTATGAAACGAAACCATTTACTTATTGATGTTCGTTGTCGGGCCTCGAACTCATATATACCATCATACATCAAACATTCAATACTTATTTATTCATTCCAAAACAATCAACAACTTTATTTTCTAGTTAAGTCCATAGAATTTATTTTGCTTTGATACCACATTGTAACACCCGTCAACCTAGACACCTCACTTCGAAGGGTCACGACCGAATGGATCGATACTAAAACTTATGTTCTTTTAGTTTTCTTAAAATTAAGTTTCTAATTTAATCTTATTTATCTTCAAATATATTAATGTTAAATACGTCATTAATAATATATAACCATAAGATTTTCTCATTAACATAGCAAAAGTGTTAATCTAAAATTTCATCATATATAAAAACATCTCGCATCATAATTAACATTCCTAAATAATCTTATCTCAATATTCATACTCAAATTCTAAGTAAAAATTTCAAACATTCATAAGTTTAACATCCTTATATTTATTATTTTAAAAATAAATATTAATTTAAAGCATAACCTAATTGTTAGGGACACACAAAGGCAGAAATATGAGTCACTGGTGATCGAGAGTAGCATCAACATCCTCAACATTTGCATCATTACCTGCACCATAAAATGGATGTGAGATATGAATATCCTAATAAATGTAATATGCATGATTTTACATTAAATTTTTTTATACATCAATGTCTTCAAAATTCTTTTCCTTATTTGGGCCGCTAAAAGATACTAACACCGGTTAGCAAGGTCTAGCCTCAATAAAAATGTGCATAAAAACATTAACCTTAACATTTAATAGTCAAACCTCAACTTTTAAACCTTAACATTTATGCCTCGGTAAGCAACCTCAACCTTTAAACCTCAATATGCATTAAAAAATGACCTCATTTATTTACTTAAAATATTTTCTTTCAATCAACATGTAAAACATATGCATGCATATGAATGCACTCGCAAGATTATCACATCACATTAATCACATAAAAACACATAGCATTTACATCCATAGAATAGGTGAGTTGCACTTACTCGATTCGTTTAGGACATTTGTTTATCATATCTTTTCTCTAAAAATAGATACCTCAACTTGATTCAATACCTTGAATATGCATACCATATAACATAAAAAATTAAATTTTATTATTTTATCTCTAATCATTTAATTTTATTAATTTCTATACTTTTTCTTATAATTTCTTTTAAATTAAAAACCCTAAATTAAATCATCAACCCTATTCTAATTTATTAAATTCCCCTTAAATTATTTTCAAATAATCTAATGTTATTAAATTTTAACTTAAACTTTTTTAGTTCTTAGTTAAATGCACTTAATCATCAAATATTCTCTAAAAATTTAAGAGTTTAATACTAAAATATAATTTTTACATAATCAATCCTAAATCATGAAATTTTCAATTTAATTCTACCTAAAATGATATAAAAAAATAATTAAATTAAATATTTTTCTTACCTTGAATATTTCATCACCAAGAATTGAATCTTCTTTCAAATACCTTTGACTTCCCTTCTTACTCAATTATATTATCTCTCTATTTTTTTTATTTGAAGTATAAACTTATAGAGTGGTTTTCCTAAATGAGGACAATGACACCCTATATATAGGCATGGGGAGCCGAACCATTTGAGAATTTTAAGTGCATGAATTAGAAAAAAATAAAATAAAAGACCACTAACGTTCTTTTTTTATGGTCACTAACCTTTTTCTTTTATGGCCACTTTCTTTTTGTTTCATGGCCATTTATGTCTCCTCTTTAATTTAATATATGTTTCAAAACTTTTGCTCTCCTTTCATAACCACTAACATTCCATTTAAAAAGCTATTAAAACTTATTATTATTTCATTATTATTTAATTAATTATTATTATTATCATTATATTATTATTATTATTATTATTACTATTTTAATTATTTAATTCTTAATAGCTTAGGCTAAGATTGTAGGACTCGTTCTTATATATGAAAATGCAATCTATAATACCCCCCCACACACACACATATATATATATATATCCTAAAATTCTATATCTAATTATCACATCCTCTAAATACATAAAAATATTCAATTAAATACACAAATAAAGCATATTTGTACACATTTGTGCATAATATATTATTATGTAAAGTTTTTAGGTATTACGGTTAGATGCTGGAACAATCAATATTAGGAACATATATTCCTCCTTCATACACATCCATGGTGACAAATTGTAAAGAGTTACAATTGCCAATCAAGAAGAATATTACGTACCAAATTGACGGAATGGTTAAAACCCATCGAGTGCAAACTACTAATCTAACATTCCTTCTTTTAGCTACAAAAGGAACATGAATCCGATCGAAACTCCACCAAGTAATAGAATTAGAGGGATGGTGCATTACTTCTACATTCTCTACCTCATGCTTTTCATGCCACGTCATGTGCTTAATCGTGGCATTCGATGCATACAATCTCTGCAATCGTGAGGTGAGCAAAAAGTAATACCTTTTTTTATTACAATAAGTTTTTCTCTTATCGATCCCCAATAAGGAATTTGATATTAAAGATACCTTGTATTTATCTAATTCATCGTGTTCACCCTAATAGATCATACAATATCTCTCACAATAATAAATCTTTTCCACTAGTAAATCCATCTTTTTGATTAGCTTTTTTGTTTCATAAAAGCTATCGGTCATAGAGTTATGAACAAGCATGAACTCCTTCATCAACTTACATAACTAGTCTAAAACTTTTCAAGAAAATGATATTCTAATTTTATGTTCAGCAATCAAGCAACTATTGACAACTATGAATGATTATCACAACCGGGCCAAATCTCTCTATACGATGCATTTAACATATCATAAAAGGCTTGAGTATAGGGATTTGGCACCTTTCTTGTACTAGATGGATCAAAAGGTAAATTGGTCGTGTCCATCATCATTGTTTGATATGGATTTTGGAGTTTACTAGAACTACCTTTACCTACATGATAATTTTCAAAAACAAAATGACTCATAAAATCATAAGATGCCATGTAGACTCAAATTCTCCATGATGTATCCAATCATAATATCATGAAACAAAACTCTTACTCTAGAAATGGTATTTTATTGTTTTAACCTCCTCAAAATTTATGTTCTAACATTTACTATGATTACAAGAACACCTTATTTTGGTTCCGTCCATACATTCGGGATGAGTAACAACAAATACAAAAAATTGTTCAGCCTTTTTTAGCAAACTCATTATTTAGCAACCCATCAACTAACCTAACATTCATCCATTATCGTTCATATCTTTTTTCTTATATCTATAAAAATTACGCATCATATGCAAATAATTCTTGATCAACATTCCTATGAATGTAAAAAAAAAAAAACTTCGACAAAATCTCCCCTATAAATTAGATGTTTCTCGATTTCTAAAATAAAATAAACAATATATACAAACATTTTTAATTAATCAACATCACACAAACATCAATCAACTATCAATTTGCAAACACCGAGATTAAATTTATCTCGAATAATCTATTAAAGTTAAATCTCAAACTTATCCTTTAGCTTGATCGTAGAGCATTGAACTAACCTTATTTCTCCTCAATTCCTATGAGTCTCGAACACCTCGGGTTCGATCACGGAGCATGAAAACAACTCTCCCTCACCTAAGCTCCCTCACGCCACAACTCTCTCTTTCGCCCACATCCGCACCTCCTCACAAACCATACCTTACATCCATACACAAGCTTCCTTACACCTAAAACTTCTCCCTCACCAAGACCTCCATCTCCTCCTCCCGATAGCATGCCTAACGACTCGTCACACCAAGCCGGTTCCATACCCCAACCAACCCCATCCCGGGCCTCTCTCACACCCATAAACACGTCCAATAGCCCCTACACCTTCGGTTTTGCACATCAAATAGCAAGCCCCCACGTTAGGCCTCTCTCACATGCACAAGCACACTAACACACCAGCCCTCTCACCCACACCCTCCTCGCCCTCATGCCTATAGCTCCTTCATAACACACTACTTGTCGGCGTAAACACCACTCGTCGGTCCCTCGGCTCTAGCCTCTACACGCTAGCTTTGTCGGTGCGAGCTAACACCTAAGATGGGCACACCAGGCATGCCTACTAACCCCATTCCAACCTCTATTTCTAACTTTTTACACACGATCCTAGCCCATAACTCCATCCCTCTCGCCCCTCACCTATACCCGGATAGCCCTTCTCCCTCATGTCGGGCTCTCCTTCTACCAACCTTTACACGCCGTACACCTACACTGCCAACCCCTCTTCCCTATGTCTAAAGCACACCAAAAAAATAACTACTTTAACTTTGAAACATAGCAACTAAAACCCCCATTCTAGTCATCTGCAAAACCCTAAAAACCAACCCGAACTAGATCTTTAAACACACACCAAAGCCCCTCTTAAAACGGATCCGAAACATACCATAAAACTCCTCCTAAAATAGATCGCGTGCTCACAAGCAACTACCTATTCCTTCATAATAGCCCCTTTTAATCCCATGACAGCCAACTAGCCCTACTAACGAAAAAAAGAAACAAAATAAAACTTTTGCTATTGGTTTATTACTATTAATTGCTTTTTTTTGTTTTGACAAGAAAAGAGAGCAACAAGTTTTCAAGAAACTTTGTAAAGTTTCGAAACTCTAAAAATTTTATAGTACTTTTTGGAGTGGTTACACAAGTATCGAAGGAACTTTTAGACAATTGCTCTCCTTTCTTAGCTAACTCGTATAATTAGTTTTTATCGAACTGAAGAGAGTAAAATTAACTTTGTTTTGAATACTAAAATTTCGAGCTTTTGGGTAAAATTCTAAAACCATTACATTCTTTTCTAAAAAATGGATGATTAAAAATGATTGGATTATTCAATTATGTGAATGAAATTGATGCATAATATTTAAATATCCATCATTTAAATGTGGTTAAAATAAGCATTGTTGTAATGGATACTCAAGGACAAACTACATTATTTTCCTGTTTTTGTTATGCCTATCTCGTTTAAATGTAAATTTAGTGCTATTTTTGTAGTTCAATTGACTTTTCATAATTGGTTATAATGATACATTGAAGTTGTCCGTGGTTTTCACTTGTGTGACAAAGTTGTCGATGGTTTCAAAATTATTTTGTATGATTCTTGATTCTTGTTTTTTATGATTTTTGTTTCCTATTTACTAGTTTCTATTTTTTATTTTTTATTGCTTATTTCATCAAAGCGAAGCTATCGATGGCTTTCCACTTATGTGATTAAGTCGTTAGTGGTTTCAAAATATATTTTTTTTAATATTTGCTTGTTTAAAAACGAAGATGCTTGTAGCTTTCCACTAGTGTGATGAAGTCTGTCGGTGGATTTTGAATCGGTTATCCGATCCTTTTTTTGAGCTGCATAAGGTGGTTGATAGCTTCCCACTTATGTGATAAAGTTATTGGTAGCCTTTAATCTCATGATCCGAAGTCGCCGATAGCTTCCCACTTATGTGAGCGAATTCATTAGTGACTCGTTGCTCATGCCAATAAAAGGCTATTTATCTTTAGAAAATCATTTATTTTCATTAATGGGTTGTGTCCTAATTCCCCTACCTTTCCTCTTTGGGTAGGGAGTATTAGCCTTAGATCGGCTCAAAATATCTTATTTTACACCCGAACTATCTTGTTCCATGTTGTTTACAAAATAAAATTATTTAAATAGTCATAGTAGCATAACATAATAAAAACTAGATTTTTATATTCATAGGTAAATAATGCGACCTACCTTAAATAGGACGGGATGGTGGGGATTTCATATCTTTTCATACGTAACCAACCCTTTATCCGGATATCCACATAGGCCGGTATGTTTATGATTTCCTAGTTCTCCCTAATTAGCTAGGTGGTAACTCCTTATTTTGGTCCTCCCCGTCACGATGGTCGATGTTAATAGAATTGGTGACTCCACTAGGGACAATGTCATGCTAGGGTCGAGCTTTGAATGTTTATGTTTTGAATCTCTCGCTTGTTTTTTATGCCTCTATGCCTACTTGTTTAAATGAATATTTGATGCTTGTTCGTTCATTTATTTTCTTGTCGTGTAATGAAAATATACATGCATTCATGTGTGTCTTACGAGTTTTAGCCATTTTAATTTTTGACCTTTATTTAGTATTTTGAGACTAGATATAGAGTTGTGCCCTCACACACTATACTCGCATAACTTTGAATATCATCTATATTTTCCTTAAGATCTAAGGAGGAATTACCGATACCCCGATGGGTTTTACCCCGGGTAACACTTACGAAACCTCACCTCTTTTGGAAAGTCGTCATTGTCGCGATAGGTAATCAATGGTCCCTATGATTACCTCCTTCGTACTTGGTCGGCTTCGGTTCTCTCGAGCTAAAAAGGATCCTGTTGAGACTTAGATAGATCCTACCCAATCACATAGTGGCTAGAATCGGACCTTAGGATCACCTTTCTTGTATAAATTCACTAGGTAAGTCAAATATGTTAAAACCTTGACCAAACAATCTAGTTATGAATGTTTCGGGATGGGTGACAAGAGAACTTAGGTCCAAACCCACTTGGTGGTTGAATTTAATAAAATTTTTAAGGTTTTACAATAAACAAAGGGGGATTACCTAGGGCTTGAATTTAAGAGCAACCATAGGAGATCACACACTTCTAGTTAATTATCATTGACACTCAAACGCCGCTTGATCGTTAGAGGATGTCGAGCCACGATGATCATTATAGGTTTCAAGCTAAATATAAGAATCTTACGAGTGTTGCTAGAGGTACTAGCTTAGAAGCCCACTCTCAAGGCCTTGACTCATTTATGGGATCCTTTATACAAATGTTTCACTATAAGAGAACTAGATATGACACTAACCCCGGAGGAGTATCATCAACTTCTAAACATGCCAAGCACTCTATATCGAGTCTATCTATATGAAAGATAATCAAATGTCAAGAAAAAGATAGAGGACTCGGTTAGATATAAGCATGAGTTATGTTAAGGCTAAGGGGAACATCAAAGGTTTGCACTTTGAAAGTTGGTTAGATATGTTAAAAAAAATTAAAGGATCCACGAGCTACCTCTAAAAGGATCAAAATTCGAGCAATGATGATCTTTGGGTTAGTGCTTTTCCCCTCATCGGCCAGTTTAATCATTCTAGATGTGGCCAACATCTTTATCGAGGTAGAGAAGCACTTCATAAATCCTATTGTTGCCATTCTAGATAAAACCTTCTCTTTATTGAGTCACTATATAAAGTTGGGGAAATGAAGTATGAGATGTTGTGTTCGACCACTTTTTATGTGGGTAATCGGCTATATTGAAGCCCATAAATTATTTTTTAAGACATATTGATGAAATGATCAAGAACCACTAAAGGAGTTCCTGGCTGGTATATGGAAGAACAAGTCTAAACAAAAGTGGTTTTTATTATTCATGAATTTTTCAAATAGATGTTTCCTATGAAAGACAGTTTGGATGAATCGAAGACCATACCTAGCTTACTCGTAGAGCATGACCATGGGTCTCTCTAATAGGAGCTATTGGTTATACTTATTATGCTCCCTCCATAGTATCATTATAATTTGGTTATAAATAAGTTATCCCTAGAATTGTGGCCCTAAATAGATTTGAAGGAAAGCTTAAGAATGATGCCACTCCCGAGTTCTTCGAATAGGTTTTACAAGATTGGTTAATTTCGAAAATAGTCAACGGAGGAATAGTTGATTATGAATTAGCAGAATCGAGAAATACCTTATGTGGCAAGCAAATAAGGAAAAAGACTGCTAATATCTAACTAACTTTGACCAAGCCGTGAGGGAGGGATGCCAAGCCAACTTGCCCAAAGGAGTGAGCTAATCATAGTATGAGCTTCAAGTATTATGCCTAGCTAGTCTAAAGAAAAAAGAAAAGATTAGAGTTCCCCAAATTAATTCCTTCGGACTATCAAGATCTCATCGGAGAAATTGAGAGGGTTAAGTTTGACAACTAGAAACCGACAAGTAATTTGGTCGAAGAAAAAAGAATGAGAGAAAAGGATAAAAAAAGATACTAGATCTAGAGCAAGATTTGGAGACTCGGCAAAGTATAGTCGCGAAGAAGAATACTGGAAATTGATTTGCCACCGAACTCAAATAGAACTAAAGATAGCTAAGTTTGACGAGCTATAATCGCGAGATATAAATTGAGCATGAGTTAAGAAGCTCGGGGTCGAAATATGAAAGCTTAGAGAAAATAATGTGAAATGGCAAATGTCTCTACGTGCTGAATATATAAATTGTTAAGATTCAACAAAGCGAATGATAGATCCATAAAACCGGATTACAACACTTAAGAAGGAGAACTAACATCCGAAAGGAGAGCTACCTAAGTTATCCTAGTATTGGGCCACCAACATAACCACTTAGCTCAAGTTGGTAATGAGTGAAGCAAGAACTTGGTTATGCTAGATAATCAAGCGAAGGAGGTCTCTAAAGAAATTATAGCTCTACGAGAGCTAAGCTTGGACATCGGTGAGCGTAGGTTGAAAAATTACAACGAATCTATAAGTAACTATTTGAGAAAGTATGACTAGCTTACTTGTTTGAAATGGCTATAAGAGGGAAGATCTTTGGAGTCCGATTGAACTATTGAGCAATTAGCTCTTTTTGCTTGTATTTCATCTTTTGTTGTATGAGGTTCTTTTTCATTTGTTATGTAAAAGAAAGATGTATCTTGAACTAATGTGAGCTCTCATGCTCTTCATTTTGAATACTCGGATAATGAAAACCTCGATGTCTTTCTTTTATTTGCAAAGAAGAATCTCATCTTCATAAAGTAAATTTGAGATAATTTGATGGATTTGAATAAGAAGAAATTTTGAGACTAAAGTTGCTAGTATAAAGGCTGGTAGGGTTATCCACTTTTAGTCTCCGAAATATGAACGACACGGATAATCTAAAATATAAAAAAGGGGAAAGGTGTTAGATACCATCATGATTCAGA